CCAAAAAAAAGCCATACTTTTAGAAATGGTCTGGGGGTGGGTGGGGTGGCGCTGTAATTGGAGTGGCTCCGAGAGCTGCTCTAATTAAAGGACCACTGCCTCTCATGTATCAGAGTCTCCATGTTTAGAAATGGTGGTTGGGGCACTTTAACTAAAGCTCATTTGACAAGCTTTAGATAAAGCACCCCCGCTGCCATTTTTAAGCATGGGGATGCTGATACATGAGACGCAGGAGGCTGCTTGGCTGCAGCAATTGCCACGCTCCAGCAAACTCCATTAATTGTGTCTGCTCCGACACACTGGAATTCCAATGCATTAGAACAGCCTCCGCGCTCGTGTATAGGTTCCCTTAACCCTTTTGTAACCAAAGTTTTTCTCATACAACTCCCACAGCTCTCAAATTCAGTACTCACAAACACTTCTCACAAGGAAAGCTCACTCAATCACTAATCACCAAACTCACACAAAAGTATTAACTATCTTTAGTTGTGTTCTCACACATTGCACATCTCTCTCTTGGGATTGACTAGACCAGTGTTTCTCAACCTTTTAAATAGCAAGCACTCCCTAACATCTGAAAATTTTAATAAATACCCCAACATTAAATTTTCCAGGGGGTTTTATATTTACAGACTAATGTGTGCCATATGTTGGAAGAAGGGCTATGTATATAAGGATGTGATATGACAGATGTCTGACCTGGTGTGGGTAGGGTTGCCACCTTTTACACCAGGGGTGCACAACTCAAGTATGTACTGGGGCTAGAGATGGTGTTGGCCAAAGCTAGGGGGGTTGAACCCCCTAGGAGTGGTGGGAGAATGAGTGGTGGGAGAACCAGTTTATTACACTAAATTATTACTGGGGAATTTAAAGTGCTGCACAATGCGTGGCGTGCCAAATTTTTTGCCATAGTTTTGAGAAGAGGAAGGGGTCAGAGAGAGAGGAAAGTGCCTCCTAGCTGGCTTGGGGTGGCAGGGGGTGGCACGCGGCCAGATGCAAACCCAGCAGCAGTGGGGGGAGCAGCAGCACCCTCTTGTTACGGGGGTTTTTGGCACCCGTGTACTCCCGCCTGTGTCTCGCATACCCCAAGAAGTACGCATACCACAGGTTGAGAAACTATGGACTAGACCTTTCTCAGCTGAGCTTCCCCTGTTAGGGTGGGAGGTAGGTTCCCTGGCCTAAAAAGGGAGAGGTGATACTGTACCTAATCAAGTAAGTATACAGAACTTCTGAGCTCTTTCGACTCTGAAGGTTTCCTAGTTTCCTCTTCTGAGGAGGCTCACAGCCAACGGCTACTCTTCAGGGCTGAAGCACACAGCCCTCTGAAACACTGCGCAGCAATCCCAGTGGTGAAGAACTGCCAGGATGCACACTGGCCCATCCCTGACAGTCTCCCTTAGTGCCAAACACACATGATGACCAAGCAGAACGCAAGACCCTGAATTCTGGTCAGCAGCTTCCTTTTAAAGGGCCTAAAAAATCACCCCACTAGGGCTGATCATCATTCATAAACCTGTCCATCACACATCAGTCTTCCAAACTCATACTTCTTTCACGGGTTAGCTAATCATACCTTCAGTCACCTTGGGAGTGGAGCTAACACACACCTGTCAGTGACACTCATTCTCCCACCACTCCTAATACCACAACTACTCATGCTCATCACCAGGGATCCTGGTTTTCTCTGATTTAAAAAAATCCCCAATTTTTGGTTAATAAAAGTAACGTTAAGTCCACATTTTTCCAGGATTAAAATGAAACACCACTAATATATAGATATATATGTAATGGTATTTCATTTTAATCCTGGAAAAATGTGAATTTGGGGTTACTTTTTTTTAACTGAAAATTGTGTTTTTTTTTAAATCAGAGGTGAATAATTCATGCATACGTGGAATATTCTCTTCCTTATTACATCATGCATGCTCCAACTTAGGTAAATAACAGACTAAACCAAACGGGAGAAACAGGGCACTAACAGCACACCAAAGCTCTTCCCCAACGCAGAGATGAATTTGGTGCAGTGACTCTAGAATTTTTTGCACAGCATTTCATTTCAAAGATCACTCACTCCATATGCCTCAGTGTAGCAGTTGCTAAGCTCATATAGCAACAAGTGCTATTTTATGATATCAGTTTTTATTTGTACTCCATTAAAAAGGATACAGTGGGGAGTTCTGTGTATGTAAGGAGAGTAGAAGGAGGCCCAATATTTGTAATGCTTTTTCAGGTAGCGGAGAATCGGAAGAACACATTTATTGTACATTAACTTCAGCAATGACCTGGCTATTTTTATGGTCCATATCGCATTGATATATTTATGAATCCATATGCTACTAATTATAAGCACCTTATTGGACTAGTATATTAGTTGTACTAGTGACGGGATGGAAGAATCTCTTGTGTGAGAGGATTTTGTGCCCTGCTTCTCATAGGAGTAGCAATCGGAAGATGAATTTCAGACATGGACCTTTTGGTTCTGATTTTGCTTTTAACATTAGTTTAGTCTTTATGTAGCTGAAGTGTCTGTTGGAGTTACTCTTGATAAGTCAGAAGAGAATTGGAGCCAGTTTATATAAATATGAGATGCCTAGTGTTTTTCAGTTTGTTGTCATGGCATTAAAGTTGATAGAAAGAGAAAGTTAAATGGTTAATTATATTTGCACACTTCTTGGAAGCCATAAAACTCTATATAAAGCTAATTCTTCCTGTAGTGATTCTCCTTGTAACACTGACACTACAGTTTTACATATCCAGTGTGATAGCAGCTTCCACAATGATCGGCTAGTGGCTGGGTTGGAATTGGCTAAAGGCCTTGAACTAGGATTACCATATTTCCAGGTCCAAAAAAGAGGACATCTGTCACATGGGTGGGGGGAAGGGGAGGAGGGCAGGGAGAATATGACATGGGGGGGGCAGTGTGATGCCGGTGCCCTGCCCCTGCCCGTGCTGTTGCCCCTTACTGCCAAACCACAGCCACACCCCATGCTGCTGCCCTTCACTCCTGACCCACTGACCCCAGCTATGCCAGTGCCTCTTACTCCCAAACTGTAGTACCCTGCCCCCCCTGGGCCATGATGATGTCCCTCACTCCTAACCCACAGCCCCTGGTGCTGTCAGTGCCCCATACTCCCAGCCCACAGTCCCCCAGCCTCCCCTGGTGCCCCTCACTCCCAAGCCACAGCCCTGCCAGAGGGGCCCCAGCTGTCCCTGTCCTGACTGGGTCAGAGTGCGGTGGTTCTGATTCATGCAGGCAGCGGCAGAGTGTCTGGCCCCAGTGCAAGCTGGAGGAAAGAGGAGGGGAGGCTTGTGGCACCCCCTGCCCTGGGATGGGGCTGCCGCACAGCACCATGTCCCCCCCACCCCCCCAGCATCTCCTGTTCATTCAGCCCCTGCAAGCGCAGGCAGTGGCCCTTGTGCTGCCTGCCCAACCACAGAGTTCCCTGCTGCCCTCAGAGGGCCCCCCCACTCCTTTCCCCCACTGGAGGGGCAGGCAACTCCTCCTCCCCCCATCCCTCTTGCCCTGTTGCAGCCCGCTCTGCCCTGACGAAATGTCTGGGATTTTGCTTTGCTTCACTGGTGCGAGCAGGGGGAGGGTGATCAAAGGCAGCAGGGAGCATCACATGGGTCTGCGCTTGCCTCCGCAGCTGCAGGCAGATACATCCGTGCTCCTTGCTGCCTCCAATCACCCTCCCTCTGCTCCCACCCATGGAGCAAAGCAAAATCCCAGACATTTGGTCAGATTTAAAAAACCCGCCCAGACGGAGATCAGTGGGCTGAAAAAGAGGACATGTCTGGGAAAACCCAGACACAGCCAGGGCTAAATTGCTTTCAGGAGAGTTTCTCTTGGGAATGTAATTGTCTGTACATGCTGACGACAGGCTGACCATAGACTGTCTGCGTTAGCTAGTCACGGCTGCCTTATGCACTGCTGTAATCTGTTGTCAGGCAGACTATGGGAGCCTGCAGAGCTTACTGAGATGTATGCATAGCCTTCCCCTCCCCTGGCCTCTGCTCCCTAACTGCACAATGTCAACACTGCAGGCTCTCTACTCTTCAGGGCCTCAGCATTATAATGTCTATACACATGGCTCTGGGTTAGTTTTTCACCACAAGAATAAACCTGAGAGAATTCCCCCAGATTATTTGAATGTTTGTATGCAGCCATAGTCAGAACACCAAGTCAGATCCAGCAGGTTTTACTTTGCAGAACTTCCTATTAACTCCTATGGGAGTTTTGACTGAGAAGAGCCTTCAAAACTGGGCTTCTTGGGCCAGCTCCTCAAGTGGTGCAAATTGGCATAGATTAATTGAAAGTCAAGTTTATATACTAGATAAGACTCTCCCCAACCTTTGAAAAGACAGTTTAAATAGGGTACACTGCAAAAAGTGCTTGTAAGCTTCCAATCTGAAGACTAA